CAACACTGAGATGCGGTTCTTCTATAGGCACAGGTACAGATCGCACCCCTGCATGTGGCCACGAAAAAGCACAAACCAAACTTTAAGCCGCCAACAACGTGCTGAAGCAATGGTATCTGAAGCAGGCTGGTTCAGGATTTGGGGTTTAGGGTTTAGAGTTTAGGGTTTAGGGTGTAGGGTTTAGGGTGCATACCTTCCACACCACAGACATGTGCTAAGTCGCTTTTCGGAGCAAGTCGTAGAAACTAGGGGCAACGTTGCGAAACAGGGTTTTTCTACAGACTTGGATGTTTCATGTCATTGTTTGCCGCCGCCAGACCGCAGCTCCTGTCAGACGCCAAGCCCCCTAAGCCTAGCATGTTCCCTTTGCCCCATGAACATGAAGAGGTGTGCCTTGCAAGTTTTGAAAGGGAGGTGGGGGGGGGGGGCAGGTCAGGCCCAAAAATCGTGACAGCCATCATGCCAGGAGGAGGCTGTGCCAGACCTGCCAGACCTCACCTGGCAACTGCGTGGGCCCTGGTTCCAGGGTCTAGGGTTTTAGGCTTTAATGTAGGACCTTGGGTTTGACCCTGGTACCCTATAAGCCCTAAACTTAAACCCTAAACGTTGAACCCTGAAACTGTAAGCGCTAAACCCTAAAACCCTAAACCATTCGATTCGTCAGACGCATCTGAAGCAGGTGAGCCATGGCCCCGGCTTCGCCGGGTGCGCCATGGCCCTGTTAGTTAAGTGGGTGAGCTGTTGGCCGCAGCCTGGCTGCGAGAGCCATCAGCCCCACCTGTGAGGTGAGCCATGGCCCCGGCTTTGCCGGGTGCGCCATGGCCCTGGTCAAGTGGGCGAGCTGTTGGCCGCAGCCTGGCTGCGAGAGCCATCAGCCCCACCTGTGAGGTGAGCCATGGCCCCGGCTTGCCGGGTGCGCCATGGCCCTGTTGAGTCAAGTGGGCGAGCTGTTGGCCGCAGCCTGGCTGCGAGAGCCATCAGCCCCACCTGTGAGGTGAGCCATGGCGCCGGCTTTGCTGGGTGCGCCATGGCCCTGTTGAGTTAAGTGGGCGAGCTGTTGGCCGCAGCCTGGCTGCGAGAGCCATCAGCCCCACCTGACCTGTGAGGTGAGCCATTGGCCCCAACATGATTGGGTGCGCCAAATGGCCCTCGCATCAGTCAGTCAGGTGCGCTGCTGGCCCCAACGTTGTTGGGTGCGCCAGTGGCCCTGGCAAATCAGTGGATCGGCCCACTTCAGTCCAGGTGCGCTGCTGGCCCCAACGTGGTTGGGTGCGCCAGTGGCCCTGGCACACGAGTGGTGTGCCCGTTGGCCCCAGCACGGGGTGAGCCATCGGCCCACAAAAAACAGGTGCGCTGCTGGCCCAGCCCGGCTGGGCGCGCCAGTGGCCCATTCACAAAATCCTAAACCCTAAACCCTAAACCCTAAACCCTAAACCCTAAACCCTAAACCTAATCAGGCTAAGCCCTCAGACTCAGGACTGTCAGACAGCGCAGAGCCCAGTATTAGGGTTTAGGGTTTAGGGTTTATAGCGTTTATAGGGGTTATAGGGTTTATAGGGGTTATAGGGTTTATAGGGTTTATAGGGTTTAGAGGGTTTAGAGGGTTTATAGGGTTTTTTGGGTTTATAGGGTTTATAGGGTTTATAGGGTTTAGAGGGTTTAGAGGGTTTAGAGGGTTTAGAGGTTTTATAGGGTTTATAGGGGCTATAGGGTGTGTAGGGTTTATAGGGTTTAGGGTTTATAGGGCTTGGAAGGCTTATAGGGTTTAGGGTTTAGGGTTTATAGGGGTTATAGGGGTTATAGGGGTTATAGGGGTTATAGGGGTTATAGGGTTTATAGGGTTTATAGGGTTTATAGGGTTTATAGGGTTTATAGGGTCTAGAAGGTTTAGAGGGTTTAGAGGGTTTATAGGGTTTATAGGGTTTATAGGGTTTAGAGGGTTTAGAGGGTTGAGAGGGTTTATAGGGTTTATAGGGTTTATAGGGTTTATAGGGTTTAGGGATTAGGGTTCCTGCCACGCCCAGGTCCGACCCGCCAGCTGGTCGACACGGGTGGCCGAGGCCTGCCTAAAGGGTTTCTTCCACAGGTAGCCCCTAAATTAAGCCCTAACATAACCCAACCCCAGGCGTTCAGAAGGGCTGAGCAAGATTCAGGGACTCAAAGCTTAAGGGGAATTGGGTGTTTGGATGGTTTCTTTATGAGGATGTGATTTCATTTCGGAGGATGGGTTGAGGGTTTAGGTTCAGGGCTTTGGGTTTCCCCTCGATCTCCCCGCCCTGTGGTTCGTGGTGGATTTAGGATCAAGGGTCAGGGTGTAACCCTAAACCCTAAACCCTAAATCCCCACCCTGGGAAGGGGCAAGCTTGTGACTTGCCACATGCAGCGCATCGGCCCAGCAGCACGATTCAAGAATGTAAGCCATATATAGGGCCTTAGGCTCACTTTCCAAACTATGTCAGACTCAGAATCAGGCTTCACGCAAGCCTGTAACTGTAACTTCTTATAATAGTAGCACAATACGTAATACCATTTTGTAACACGGTTTAGTCAGACTCGAAGTCTTGTTTTCTCGCCTGACCATCGCACCCGTTTGAAAATTTGCCAATGGTGCGCAAGAGGGCAGCCGAGCAGCATGGGACACCGCACTATCAGCTGAAGAAGAAGAAGAAGGAGGAGGCGGAAGCAGCGGGGGTGGAGCAGCATCAGTCGTCAGACCCTGACTCTGGCAAGACTGAGACGGCGCAAGCAGCGGAGGCGGAAGCAGCGGGGGCGGAGCATCAGTCGTCAGACCCTGACTCTGGCAAGACTAAGACGGTCGAGGCTGGCGAGACGGAGTCCGGCAAGACGGACTCGGCGTCATCCGTCAGACGCCCTCAAGCTGGACTGAGGGCCAAGCTTGCCCAGGAGGCGGAGAGAAAGAAAAAGGAAAAGGAGTGCAAGGGCAAGACGAAAGCCCAAGGCGAGGGCAAGGGCAAGGGCAAGGGCAAGACGAAAGCCAAAGGCGAGGGCAAGGACAAGGGCAAGGACAAGGACAAGGACGAGGGCAAGGGCAAGGGCGAGGGCCAGGGCAAGACACAGACGGAGCAGCCTGGCCAGACCCAGACGCAGATGGTGCCGCCGTTGCAGATGGCGCCGCCGGCAGGCCCTCCCGTCTGTGGCTCTGTGGCTGACGCCTTCGTTTCTTCGCTCACATTGGAATTCAAGGGAAGACTTGTGTTTCTCCCATCTCTTTGGTTATAGTATTATTTCGTTTCTTCCTTCGATGGTGAATCTCAGGTCAGACTCGCCGACGTGACGCTGGGTACCATCTCCTCCAATGCCACCTTGCAAGACCAGCTTCGCACCAGCCTCTTCATGACGCATTTACATGCGAACCGGGTGGCAGGGACCTTGTCCGCTGAGCAGCATCGCAGCTGGATGGACCAGTACAGCAATGGCTACCTGGCTGATGCAGTCTTCTTTTGTTTGAGCCTGAACTAAAAACAATAACAACGACATCAAACACCTTAAACTCCGAAGCCCTAAACTTTATGAATCAACGCTAAGAGTCTCAGCAGATAATTTTCGACATTTCTTGCTGTCTCGTGTATAAACCCCTTCATACCCTAAGATTGACCTTTCATTTTGATCAGCACAAGCAAGGTCACTCCGTGAATGTGTCATCCCCGCTCCCGCCACCTCTGCCAAGCCAGACGCAGCAGCAGCAGCAGCCAGCAGCCCCTTGTCAGACGCAGCAGCAGCCAGCAGCCCCTTGTCAGACGCCGCAGCAGCCAGCAGCCCCTTGTCAGACGCAGCAGCAGCCAGCAGGCCCTTGTCAGACGCAGCAGCAGCCAGCGGCCCCTTGTCAGACGCAGCATGGTCACCTCCCGCCAGCACCGCCTGTGCCCTTCTACGTCCCGCCGACACCGCCACCGCGTCAGACGCAGCAACCATGTCAGACGCCGTTGCAGGCGCCAAGTGGTAAGCTCTCGCCGCCCTTCTACTACGTCCCACGCTAGCTTCTGAATTGTTTCAGTCAGACTCTTCCTGTCACTGTGCGCAAAAAGGAGACCAGGATGCTGCCAGACTGTAATTGCGTCCCGAAGCCGGCCCGCCCACTCACTAAACTAACCCATAAATCATGTAGTGGAGTCCGAAGTACAGATTCCACTGCCGCGCAGGCCGGGGCATCGTCAGACGTCTGCGCGGGGCCTTGGTGCGGCGGCTCACTTTGTTGCAGACTGGTAGGTGGTAGGCGATGTTCTTGGCCACTCTGCCGTCTGCTGTTCCTGTCTGCGGTCTTGCTGAGGCATATAGGGGTTATAGGGTTTATAGGGTTTATAGGGTTTATAGGGTTTATAGGGTTTATAGGGTTTAGGGTTTATAGGGTTTATAGGGTTTCTAGGGTTTAAAGGGTTTATAGGGTTTATAGGGTTTATCGGGTTTATCGGGTTATTAAAGGGTTTATAGGGTTTATAGGGTTTAAAGGGTTTATAGGGCTTATAGGGTTTAGGGTTTAGGGTTCCTGCCACGCCCAGGTCCGACCCGCCAGCTATTCGACACGGATGGCCGAGGCCTGCGGTAGCCCCTAAATTAAGCCCTAACATAACCCAACCCCAGGCGTTCAGAAGGGCTGAGTAAGATTCAGGGATTCAAAGCTTAAGGGGAATTGGGGGTTTGGATGGTGTCTTTATGAGGATGTGATTTCATTCGGGAGGATGGGTTGAGGGTTTAGGTTCAGGGCTTTGGGTTTCCCCTCGATCTCCCCGCCCTGTGGTTCGTGGTGGATTTAGGATCAAGGGTCAGGGTGTAACCCTAAACCCTAAACCCTAAATCCCCACCACCACATTGGTCTCGGTTCAGGAAAGGTCCAGCGCTGATGCGAATGTCAGATTGTACTATGTAAGCAAGAAGCCAGACAGCAATCAGAACACCCCAAAAAAATCTCAAGACGATGTGATGTCACAGATCATTGCAATTTTGTAGACTCCACCGGGACTCACTGTCGCTGCCTTGCAGCCATGTCCAACAAAATGTCGGCGCCTGACCAACAAGCTATGGACGCAGTGCCAGAACCCACTCCAGTGCCAGACCCGCGTCCAGTAAACCCAGCGCCTGGCATCTCAGAGGAGGCCACCACAAAGCCGGACCCAGCCGTCCCAGAGGAGGGCGCCCCAAAGCTTGCCCCAGAAAAGGCCACGTCAGAACCAGACCCAGCGCCAGCCATCTCGGTGCCAGACCCAGACGTGCCAGGCGACACAGGCTTGCAGTTCCTAGACACGCCAGACGACACAGGCTTGCAGCCCGAAGACGTGCCAGACGACACAGGCTTGCAGTTGGCGCTCCTCAATGACGGGGGTCCCATCCCGAACCCACCCCGCCAGACCAAGCCGAAAATGACGAAGTTGCCCATTTCGAAAGACGACATGGTGCGCTGGCACAACCTGCTGTCGAGGTTTCTGTCCAAGCTTTCCGATCCTGACATGCGTCGGGAAGTGTACGAAAACGTCAGACAGTGCTACTTGGCTTAGTAAAGTTCGAGGACTTCAGGCTGTAGAACTACAAGGTTGAGGGTTCAGTCGAGGGGTTTCCAGCTTTGGGTTTTTTTGGCCCTTCCTCAACGCTGCCCCTTGTCAGCCGTGCAGTAGCGACTCCGCAAAGCCCCTTAAAGAACTCTAGATGCCCAAGCTCAGGTTGGAACGCCATTCCTGCGACGCCAGTCCCGCTCGCTCCGCACGCCAACGAGTCAGACCCCGTCGATGCCTTCGTAGCTTGGTTGCCAGCATTGCACTATAAAATTGGCACTTCTAGTCACTTCTATGCATTGCATGTCACTCATAATAAGGTGATGAGCCATTTGGCGCTGGCAAACCCAAGTCTTTATTGGGTCCTTCATCGTCTGCAATGTGACGGGGCCAGCTACGCTGTGCCTTGTCTGTGGCAGTACGAAGTTCCATGGTTGACGCCTCACGCGTACTGAACCGTGAACCCAGGTCGTGCTGAGCGTCCTTCGGCGCCCCAACACGGTGCTCGCGAAGGCCTTCGCCGAGGAGCTGGTTCAGAAACTCGTAAGTATCTTGGACTGCGTACAAAGGGATACTGTGTGCACGGTTGTCAGATTCATGTTTGATTCTTTCCCGGATTCCCCTCCCTCCCCAACTTCCGATCACTGAGGACAGTTCATTGGCTACAAGGACAGTCACACCTATTCTGACCCCAACTACGTGATCGCTTCTTGGTCTCACGAGAAATGCTACCTGCTCAGCCACTGGACTTGAATCATTCAATGTCAACTGGCAGTGCAGTCATGACACACCTATTTTCTACATGTTTACATCACATCATCTGAGTGAGCATCCCTGAAACAACTGAGTGGCGACACACCCACAGAGTTGGGACTTTTCCAGAAGCGAATGGTGCGACATGTTGCAGAAGCGGCGGGCGCCAGACTTGACAAAGCCACCACCGCCGCCTCGTGATGCTCCAGTAGCTCGAAGAGGATGTATTCAGGGCTTTGTTAAGGTTTAGAGTGAGTGGAGGGTTTAGTCAACTTTGGTGCCATTTGGGTTTCTTTCGTATTTAGGGTTTAGGGCTTAGAGGGGGTGTGGTTAGGCAAGCTCCAGCGGCAGTGGCAGCCAGACCATGACGCAGCCAGCAACAGCAACTCAGATGCTTTTTTCAAGTTCTTTTTAATCCCCCCCCCTCCCCCTCCCCTTCACCCCCCCTCCCCTTCCCCCCCCTCCCCTCCCCCCTCCCCCTCCCCCTCCTCACAACGCAGGCACCTGGCCAGACAGCTGCCCCCAAGGCCCAGCAGAAGCCAGCGGCGGTTGCTCAGCCATTTCATTGGAGCTGTTCATTTTAGGTTGGTTTTAGGGGTTTGGGCTTTTTCCGTGTTCTTAATAAAGGGATGGGGTTAAAGGGTCTACATTCATGGCTGCAGGGGAATCAGGGATAATTTAATGTCGACAAGTTAGAGCGTCCTGCTATGTCCTGCTGAGGACACCAAAAGGCGAGACCACGGCCAGACAGCTGGCCCCAAGCCGCAGCAGCCAGATGGCAGCCAGACGCCTGCGGTTGCTCAGCCATTTCATTGGAGCTGTTTTTTGGGAGGTTTGGGTTTTTTCGGTGTTCATGGTATCAAAAGTCTAAATTCATGGCTGCAGGATAATCAGGGTGATTTTTGTTGTGTCGACAAGTCAGAACATTGCGCTATGTCGCGCTCAGGACACCAGAGCTCGAGATCACCAGACAGCTGGCCCCCAGCCTCAGCCGCAGGCCCGAGATCATGGCCAGACAGCTGGCCCCCAGCCTCAGCCGCAGGCAGACAGCGGCCAGACGCCTGCTGTTGCTCAGCTGTTTCATTACAGCTGTTCTTTAGGGGTTTGGCCTTTTTCGGTGTGGGTTCAAAGGGTCTGCATTCATGGCTGCAGGATCATCAACATCAGCAGCAGGGCCAGCAAAACTGGACATCCTCGCAATCCCAGTCCCAGCGGCAGTGGCAGCCAGACACTTGCTACAATAAGCAACTTGCAATGTCAGGTTCATGTGCTGCGGTTGGTCATGCTAGTCTTTTCCTGCGGCTGCCTGAGCTTCTGTGTCTGTGTGTAATTAAGGACAGTTGGAGTCAGAGAGGAGATGGCTCCTGGTGGGGCCAGACCGATGGATGGCACCAAGGCTGGCAGACTGCTGGGCGGCAGAGTCAGACTGATGGTCAGGGCTGGCAGTGGCAGAGTCAGACTGATGGTCAAGGCTGGCAGGCCGATGGGTGGCAGAGTCAAGGCTGGCAGGCCGATGGGTGGCAGAGTCAGAATGATGGTGACGGATGGCGCTGGCGCAGGCAGGGGCCGTAAGACGGTTCTAAACTCGTGCTAGCAAGACAGCCTCTTCAACATGTAAATAATTGTAATCGGCTGATTCACTGATTCGTGGGACTGCGGCCTCTGTCTGTCTGCCAGACTGGACCTTTTATTAATTCGGGAAGAATCTTCTCCCTGGATCCAATCAGTGCTGCTCTGCTTTCTGCCGACTACGGCCTGCCCAGAGCGATGTGCTCCGCATTCTGCCGAATCACGGCCTGCCCGGAGCGATGCGGTGAAAACTATTTCTGCCCATGTTTCTGTTTGCGATTCTGTGCTGATTCACAAGATCCGAAGCGAAACAAATTGTGCAATCCAACTCCTGCAGGCCAAGCGTCTGGGCTGCCTCGATGCCCTTTGCTCCAGCCGGGCGCCCCAGGAATCCGGCTTCAGAACTTGAGGATTAGGTTGTTCCGGGGAATCCACGTGTGCCAAACATGATGTGGGCAGCCGTTCGCCACCATCCATGCAAAATCATGCAACACTGGGCTCCGGGACACGTTCGTGCCACGAAACCAACTTTCGGCCTTGGGTTCGGGAATGTCAGTTTTTGCCTTGGGGTTTAAGGTAGGAAACATGCACCCAATCAACAATTTGCAAGGTTTCAGGAGAAAGAATGAGTCAGTGAGCGGCGTAAACTGAAACCCGAAACCTGGTCTAGGAAGCAAAGCGAACCCGACCCTAAATTAAGCTGAAAGTCGGTTTCGTGCCTTAAAAGTCTCCCGAAGCCTGTGGTTTTTACAGTCCAATCAACTAAGAGTACGACTACAAAGAGAGAAACAACACGACACTCACAACAACCTAAGCCCTGAACCTCTTCCAGGATGCAAGCTGACAGCCTTTGGCGGGGCCTTGGGCGGAGCCTTTGGCGGTGGCCCTGGAGGCAGGGGTGTTGCCGGACGGTTTCGTGCCACGAAAGTGTTGCAGAGCTTGGTTTTGCATGGATGGTGGCGACAAACGCCTTATTCCTATGAAACTGCAGGTTTCTTCTAAATTCCATGCAAAACCAACCTCCGGGACACTTCCGCGGCACGAAAGTGCCTTTCAGCTGTGTTTCCTAGACTTGGTTAAGGGTTTCGGTGTTACTCTGCCCCAGTCTGACAGTCTGATTCCTTTTTTCAAGGCTAACAAGTTATTGATTCCAAACCGTCCTTTGCAAATTCCATGCAAAACCAGCCTCCGGGACACTTTCGCGGCACGAAAGTGCCTTTCAGCTTTGTTTCCTAGACTTGGTTAAGGGTTTCGGTGTTACTCTGCCCCAGTCTGACAGTCTGATTCCTTTTCAAGGCTCACAAGTTGTTGATTCCAAACCGTTCTTTGCATTCCGAATTCCAGGCCAAACCAAGCTCCAGGACACTTTCGTGGCACGAAACTGCCTTTCAGCTTTGTTTCCTAGACTTTGTTTCGGTGCGGTTACTCTGGCCAGACAGTCTGATTCCTTTTGCAAGTTGTTGGTTCCAAACCGTTCTTTGCACCCTAATTCCAAGCAACACCAAGCTCCGGGACACTTTCGTGGCACGAAACTGCCTTTCAGCTTTGCTTCCTAGACTTGGTTTCGGTGTGGTTACTCTGGCCAGACGGTCTGATTCCTTTTGCAAGTTGTGGATTCCAAATCGTTCTTTGCACCGTAATTCCAAGCAAAACCAAGCTCCGGGACACTTTCGTGGCACGAAACTGCCTTTCAGCTTTGCTTCCTAGACTGGGTTTCGGTGCGGTTACTCTGGCCAGACAGTCTGATTCCTTTTGCAAGTTGTGGATTCCAAATCGTTCTTTGCACCCTAATTCCAACCAAAACCCAGCTCCGGGACACTTTCGTGGCACGAAACTGCCTTTCAGCTTTGTTTCCTAGACCTGGTTAAGGGTTTAGGTGCGGTTACTTTGTGCAGTCTGATTCCTTAATATTCAAGGCTACCAAGTTGTTGATTCCAAACCGTGCTTTGCAAGCGAATTCCAAGCAAAACCAAGCTTTGGGACACTTTCGTGGCACGAAAGTGTCCCAAAGCTTGGTTTCCTGCACCAGGTTAAGGGTTCAGGGCAGGATGACTACGCTCATAAGAAAACGTACAAATGGCCTTTCATTCCCTGCAAAACCAAGCTCCGGGACACTTTCGTGGCATGAGAGCGGCTTCGGGCTTGTTTCCGAGGCTTGTTATAGGGTTTAGGGTTTAGGGTTTAGAGGGCTGGAGGGTTTCGAGGGTTTTGAGGCTTTCGAGGGTTTTGAGGGTTTGTTGGGGTTTTGAAGCTTTTTAGGGTTTACCTGCAGGCTTCATTCCGCGCAAGACCATGCTCCGGGACACATTCCAGGCACGAAACCGGCTTTGAGCAGTTTCCTGGACTGGTTTCCAAGTCAGGTTTAGCATGAAGGATCATGGATTTAGCGTTATACATTGCAGAGTTCATTGACAGTCATGACATAGAAGCATTTCTCCTGGTACGGCTGCTTTGTTACAGCCGTGCTGCTGTGCTGCTTGGAGCAAGACCGCTTGTTAAGTGCTGGCATTTCTTGTGGCGTTTTCAGACAACGTTCAAGCTCTGGCAGGCCGATTGGAATTTCACGATGCTTCAATTCCACTTTCTTTAGCCGCATTGCCAGATTGCTTCGCATGTGCTAGACCCACAGGTGTTGCTTTGCACATCGCTAGCATAAGCTGAGCTAGAGCAGGGGAACGTAGTTTCTGCTGCCATTGCCGGCCGACTACTGGCTGTTTACGGGATGCGCTCCAAGATTGTGAAGGGCAAGATAATCCCGGCGGGGAAGCTGGAGTCAGACAGCAAGGTTGAGTCTGAGGCCAGTTCCTGTCGTCAGACTGGCTCGAAGATTGCGAAGGCCGAGGTTCAGTGTGGCCTAGTGGCAGCAAAGAAGGTGAAGGTAGAGAAGATCGACCATGGCCCAGCTGTGAAGAAGCTGAAGGAAGACATCAAGTCCGAGTGCAAGACCGTGAAGAAGCGGACGCCAGGCAAAAAGTCCTCAGGCCAGACGTCCGTTCGTGTCGAACGTGACAAACGGCTTCTCAAGAAGCCTTTCCAGATCCCCAGGGCAAAGTTCAAGAGGCTTTGCCATGCCATTGTCGCGAATTTGGCGTCAGACCAGGACATCCAAAGCTCACATAAGCTGAGCCCGGAGGCCTGGGACACGTTGCGCACAGCAGCGGAGTCCTTTATCAGCTACGAAGTCTTTCGTCAGGCCAGATTCTCGCGTCAGACCAACAACCCCAAAAGAAAGACAACGCTCCTGCGCGACTTTAAAGTGGCCTTGGCGATAGATGGAAGGTAGGCAGCAAGACAGTTGTAGCCTGAGCTGTCAGACAAGTAGCCAGCAATACAGTTTTTGCCTCGACTGTCAGACAAGTAGCCAGCAACACAGTTTTGCCTTCAACTGTCAGACCATGGCGCCATTGGGAAGCCAAGCACAGCAGGGGCTGCGTGTGCAGTGTGAAAAGAAACCGGTTGGATCGTTGATGTTGTTTTGCACTACCTTGCCGGCTGGGCAAATAGCTCTTGTAGTCTGCCTGTGGCAGGCTGCTGGACATTCAGCTCGACGCTGCTCCGCCTTCAGATTTTGAGTTCGGGCCTGCTACTTAGGCTTGCAACTTAGACTTAATCTGACCAGGGTGCAGTGTAGGTTTTAGTTTAGTGGTGTTGGGTTTAAAAAATTAGGGGTTGAGCTTTCGGGAACTCGACCACAGTGCCTGCAAGACACATGGCCCATCATGTCGCAGCCTTGTGGGCATGTCATAGATTTGGATGCGCTGAACGACGACGATGCTTCTGACATGGATGTGTCTCAGCACAGTGTCATGGACGTGGACGAAATGGACGTGGAGGAGCCAGACATCCCACAGCATGTGGGCCCTGGGCCAGACACCCTGCCAGGTATCATGCAGGCTTTTCGCTGGCCGTACCTCGCAGCTCAAGCGCTGGGCCGGCATATGCTGCCTGCCCAACTGCAACGGTCGTGTTTGACCAGAACCTGGAGAGTGTCGACCCATTTCTCTGGTCTGGGTTCTGCTGAGCTGGCGTTGCAGCTATTGGAGCACGCTGCTGCTGGTCTTACTGGTGGTGTGGGTCCTCAGTTTAACCTTGTCTCAGCTTGCGAGAAACAACCAAGTCGCCAGAGGGTGCTTCGAACACGGCTGCCCCAGGATTGCCATATATTCGATGACATCATGGAGAGATTTCGGGACTTGCCGGAACTTTCCGAGACAGTGGACTGGAGGGGCATCTGGAGCAGAATGCCAGACGCTTTTCTCGGTCAGGGTATCGCTGCAAGATGCAGGCAGCACTTACACTCGCAATGCCGACTGGCAGCCCCGCCAGACCTGGATATTTCTGGATCGCCCTGCCAGGTGTGGTCGTCCATGGGCTCACGTGGGGGGTCGCAAGACAACCGAATAGTGTTGTTCCTCGCATGGGCTTACCTAATTCGGACGGGTGAATGCAAGATTATCATCCACGAGAACGTGTCTGGGTTCAAAGAGGGCATCCTGTTAGAGTTGCTGTCAGACACGTTTGAGGTGGTGACTTTGGAAGTACATCCTTGGCATTGCGGTTTCAGGATCATAGCCAGACCAAGAAAGTACTCTGTGCTTTTTCGCCGGCGCAACATTGAAGTAGTGTCAGACGTCCATGAGGTGTACCGTCAGCTTTCGCAATCCTTGGCGGACTGGCAGAAGCAGCCGGATCTTGAAGAATTCTTGTTGACTTCCGAGCAGGGCCTGTTGCAAGAGGAGAACCAGGCCAGGGCCAGCAAGAAGTTGCCAGCTGTCAGTGGCTGCAGTGATTCATGGGCTTACCTGCCCTTGGTCTGAACTTTAAGGGTAGATTCTGGCCTTGTTCATGCCCAGACTGTGTTGCCCTTCCAACTCCAAACCTTCAAAGGCCCGAGTTAAACAAACCTGGAAACCTTATATAATATATGCAGCCTAAACTATTGAAACCCTGCTGTCCCTACCACTGACATTAGTTCTCGAAGTTCTAAGGTTGACAGACAAGCAACGTGGCTATTTGCAAAAGTACCAGGAGCAAGGCGCTGTGCGTCAGACCAGGAATGTCGTCTATGACCTGAGCCAGAACCCAGAGAAGAGGCCAATACAGACTTCGCAGCAGACAGGAAGTTTGCCATGTCTGAGAAGTGGTTCCCTCTTGTGGATGCCAGACCGGAGGAGATGGCTTGTAGATGCGGAGCTGGCCGCTTTGATGGGATTTCCAAGCAGCGAGCCTCTGAAGAACTTGTACGGGGTGCCAGACATCTTTTGCCCAGCCCGGTCTCAGGTAGGCACTGCCATGCATGTGGGATGTGTTGGGCTGGTCGCACTTGTCGCTCTCGCGTGTGCACGAGACCGGTCGTAGTTCTTGTGCATAGTTATGATGTCGTGGCTGCTGCAAGACCAGTCATGACCAGGTGTCACATGAGTATGAACACTTGCTTTCTCGAAGCCCGACGCAGTGCAAAAACAATGGCTTTGTGGGGATTGCTAGATGTGCATCATTCCTGGCCATGACACATCATTGCTGTAATATGAAAGCCCCACTTCACACCCACGACTACGTTATGTCTGTGTCGTCTACACTAGACTGTAGCTTTTCTGCATACACACACGCGCACAAGGGGATGCCGAAGCTGCTGTTTCAGCCAGAGCCTGCAAAGCGTAAGTCTCAGCCAAAGAGAACCCCCCCCCCCATTTTCGTCATGTGCGTCGAAGTCAGGCCTTCGGCCAGTTTCAGTCGCTGGCTGCCGCCGCAGACAGTCCTGCCAGAGCCTCGACAGAGCAACCCTTCTGTTCTATGCCAGACAAAATAACACGGCCCCAACATCTGACGGCAGGGGGTTCCGAACCACGAATTTCGGTTGTTAATGGCTGCGGGACTAAATGAAGAAGCCTGAAATCCTGGCGGCTGGGGGTTCCGAAGCCCGAACTTAGGTTTACAACGGTTGTATCCCTATTGTTTTGGTTCGGAACCCCCGCGGCGGCCGAAACACGCACCTGGAGGTTACTCTTGTTCCACCAACAGTTTAGTTTGCTAGTGGTTGGGCCCCTAAATTCGGGGTTCACTTGATGCAACATGGTACTTGGCAGCTTGGCATGCAATTTGTGCGTGAGATTGAGGCTGTCAGACTTGCTTGCCAGGGTCCCTCTGGAACAACCCAGAAGATAGGAGCCTAACCACTAGCAAGCTAAATTTGGGGTTAGTCGCAAGCAGGTGTGCAAATCAGGTCTGGGAGGGCCCTGCCGTTCACAGAAACTTCGTCCGCAAAGGGGTTGCTCCGACTCCTGTGTCAGACGGGCCATGGCGCTGCGCCCTATCTCCTGTGGGTATGAACGTTTCCGGCTGGAAGACCTTTCGCTCAGCATCGAGTCCGGCCACCGTGACATTGATGAGGCCGGCAGCTTGAAGCAGTCATTCAGTTCTGACCTGTAGGGTTATGATGCCGTGCTGAGTTTTGCTTTGACAGGACAGAGTCTCCGAGCTTCTCGCCAGACTGCAAGCAGGTGAGTTCGGAACTGCAAGATCGGTTGCCCAGCCCACTGTCAGACTCGACAGTGAAGGAAACCAAATGCGCTGCCCCGATGGCCTGCTGAAGTTGGCTGACGGGAAGCAGTGGGTGTGCGCACTCGTTCGTGCCAAGGTCATCTGGCAAGACGCAGAGCAGTCAGACTGGGTCACTGCTCCCCTTCTTGAGGTCTTTCAGATGGGCCTTCCGATGGAGAAGATCAAGTTCCAGGATGATGATGAGGCCGCCGTCAGACTCTTTTGGTCCATGTCCCACGAAGGTGAGAACACCAAGGTGCGTGCCCACAGCGTGCACTTGAAGGTGCAGATCTGCAAGACCTTCATGGAGAAGACGCCTGGCGGAGACACCGCCAAGGCTGAGGCTGCCATGGTGGCGCAGCTGGGGCCATCCAAACGATCCACAGTGCACCTTTGGATGAAGGCTGCAATTACACTGACAGACTCTACTTTGTGCTTGCTGGCAACACGACACTTTCTGTGAATTCAGTCGTTTTTAAGTTGTCTTGTCAGTGGTCTGGCTCCCAGTTCCTTGTTTCCGATGTGCTTGGTGGCCAAGGACCTGACCTCACCCAAGGATACGTCTTCGGCAACCCTTTCCTGACTGGCTTGGGTGAGGAATCTCGCGCTGCGGTTGCACGTCAGTGCACGGTCGTGATGCATGTGTGCTTCGCAACTCATCTTTTGGTCAATGCTGAGGTCAGAGGCTTTCGGTGGATTTCGCCGAAGCTTCCTTGAGATGCCTATTCGACACGCTAGACCTGGACAGGGGCGTCACGAAGGAGCAATTCAAGACCGATTTCTGTGCGCCCATGCTGAGAGCACCTCGGCTCGCTTACAGTGCCTGCTGCTAGTCTAGTCTACGAGCATTAGAGGGGGGCACTGACAAACTTAGGCCCAGAACTGGGCGAAGCTCACAACGCAGAAGTACGGCTCGGTTGTGAAGCAAGTCCCTTCTTTCGATCGCACTGTAAAGATGCTTATTTCAGAGCGGGGCCGTGTGAAGATCATGCTGCTTGCAGGCAATGGCTCAGCTAGCTTTGAGGTGTACAGTGCTGTGAATTCTTTGCCTCTTTCACTTGAGTTTACGAGTCATAAGGAATTGCATCCTTGCCGGACATCCGCTGAATGGCAAGGCCAACATCCCCAACTCTGGAATCGAAGAGTGTCGCAAGACGATCGAAGCCCTCGAGGAGAAGAAGAGCGGCAAGACTGATTCTGGAGGGCATGCGTCAGATGCTGCCGCGGAGGAGCCTGTCAATCAGGATAAGCCAGACGACCAGCAGCATGAGGACGTTGACATGCTGGCAGACCATGCGTGCGACGTGGTGGTGGCCCCTGAGACTGAGCCTGAGGACCCACTCGTGGTGAAGGCGACCGAGCTCTCGGCCTCCATCCTCGAGAAGATCCATGTCCTTAACTGTCCGTCAGACTTCAAGGAGGCCGTGAAGGGTTTGAAGGCGCACTGCCGTGGCATCATCCTTGTGGATCAGCCAACCTCGAAGGCCAAAATCATTCTTGATTCCTTGGATTTGGCTTGGCATGCAGTCGCACAGGCTCTGCCAGACCCGATGAAGTACGTCAGTGTGGGCATCACCATTGGACGGCGGTTCGACCTCATCCCCTTGGTCACCGCCAGACTCCACAAACTCCTGCCAAACCGTCAGCCGTTCGTCGTCCAGAGGGATGGCCAGACAAAGAACAAGAGGCCAAGCTACTTGATCTACCAGCCCAGCACTTCGTCAGACAAAGACATGGTGCCAACAACCGTCCCGTGCAACCAAGTGCGGGCGTTTTCGTGGGAAAAACTGCGGTTGAGGTGCACAGATCCCACCTGTCCCCTACGTCAGGCGCCCGTCCCGGAGGACACTGACGAACCGCCGCATGTCGACGAAGAGTTCCCGTCAGACGACTTGGAAGGCCGCGACCAAGGCCAAGACGAGCAGGACGTCACAGAGAAGCTTTGTGAGCCAGACCTTGATGTGGAGATCGACAAAGCCCCGAAGAAGAAGAAGAGCAAGGCCGAAAGAGAGCTGGCCCGGGAGTATAAGGTCGATGTCTGGTTGTTTGCAAACGCGCAAGACCACTACGTCAAACTCCTGCAGGGGGCTTTCCAGAGCTCACAGGCCTCCTGGTCAGTGGTGACCACCCGAACTTCGCACCCGGGGGCTCTTGTGGCATGCCAGACCCAGACCGGCGAGGCTGGTCCTCTGTGGCGTTTGCAGGCGTTGTGTCAGTCTCTACTCGGGGTTTCGTGCTGCTGCCGTGTCTTGCTCCCTGCCTTCAGGTGGTCGCCCTCGTTCAGGGTCCTTCACGGCACAGCATGGAGCACGGCAAGGTGCTGCTGGAAGAGATGGCCGCGCACTTGAAAATGGATGAAGCAAAACGGCTCATCGGCAACAAGAGGGCGAGGCCTGTGCAGGCAGATGACATACCGTACATCTTCATGCAGGCCCCTCCTTGGCAAGAACAGGTCGTGTATGTGAAGGAAGTGAGCCTGGGTGCCTCGCCTGGGCCCTTTGATGGGCTTAACCGCCGGGTGTCAGACTTGGAGACTGGGATGGAGAAACTCTTGCGCAGAGAACTCTCGGCTTGGGACCTTGCGTTGGCCATGTCAGATGGCAAGACTGCTGCTCGGCTTCATTTGGGCGGTGTTACAGGCAGGTGACTAACCCTTGCAGTGCACACGTGGCTTAGGTTGCACTGCAAGCCCGCAAGTCATACAGGGACGGAGAGATTGTGTGCTCCGTCTCGGCTCTCCACTTCGATAGCCAAGCTGCAGTTGTGCAACTCGTGAATGCACACCCTGACCTCGCAGCACGAGTTGTCAGAGCACAAGGCAGGACTTTGCAGCTGTGACCTTTGTGTCTTTTGTCGCGTTGTTTGGTCTCTGAGTCACTGAGGGCAAGTGCTTTTGCAGTTCAGGCGTGGCCTTTGAGACGGGGCATGTGAATGAGGATCTGTATTCCGTCATGGTGGGATGCGGGGCAAGAGTCCAGCCAGTCTCCTCGGGCAGAAGAGCCAATTGTCACTTGAAGATGGATTTGTCTCGAGGCTTGTCAGACAGCCTGTACCAGATCGTGGTCAAGACCAGGAACCAGTGCGGGGTCGCCAGCGGGTCCTTTTTTTACATGGACTTTGGTTCCAGCTGGGACATGTCACTCGTCCATACTGAACACAGTTACTTGTGTATAACTTCCAGACAGCGCGTTGTTCCATGTGGCTTGTGTCTATCCACAATAGCTTTCGATGCAACTGCAGGTCTGCCGTCAGAGCCAGTGAGTCGACCAGCCTGAAGCGCTTTGTGCAGTCGTGGTTCGCAGATGGCAAGGCCGCAGGGTCAGAGCCAGACTCGAAAGACAAGGAGGAGCCTGGCAAGGGGCCGGAGCCTGGCAAGGGGCTCAAGCCTGGCAGCGAACCTGCTAGCAAGACACCCGTTCAACCTCCCCAATCCAAAGATCCAGCAGAAGATGGTGGGGCGGAGAAGACGCCCAAGGGAAAGGGTAAGGGAAAGGAGTCAAACAAAGCCAAGAATGAGGTGGACCCTGTCCCGGAAGGTACCCTTGCCACCTTCGTTTCGCAGGAATACACCTACGCCCTGTCGCCAGAGCTCCTCATCACTTCCCTGCAGAAGAATCGCATGACCACAAACAAAAAAATCTTCCCCGGAACAATCCTTCACCTGACAGCCGATGGAAAGATGAAGCAATGCCACGAGAAGCCGCCAGACAGCTTCGAGTACGTGTACAAGTTGAACTCGCAAGTGATCGTGGCGGATGGGCCAGACGGCGACTTCAACAAACTGAGGATGGTTTCCGTGGAGGCGCTGGCCCAGGAAA